AGTGTCTGACTCTTGACCTCAGCTCAGGTCTTGGTCTCAGGGTCGTGAGTTCGAGCCCCACGCTGGGCTCCGTGCTGGTGTGGAGTCTACTGGATAGATAGGTGGGTAGGTAGATAGATGCAGATAAAGGTTACACAGATACAGAGATAGATAAATAGACAGGATAAAGGTTAGAGCATCCTCCACATCCTTCCAACTTATCTGGCCCCCATATCGCCCTCATGTCATCCACGGTCCCTGAGGTTCCTCCAGCTTTCTTATGTGGAGGGGGGTGAGGCTTTCACCAATTTTGGCATTTCCCAAAGTGAGTTCCACAGCCCTCTAAGCTCCCGAGATGCTTTTCGAAAAGATAATTGAAAGGCACCTCCCTGTCAAACAGGCCTGGCTGCTGGGTAGCTAGAGCCATTGCCCTTCAGCCTCGCACACGGATGGACCCGAGAAGCCCTGCAGTGAGGAAACCCAGCGGATGTTCATGTTGGTGTTTTCCCACACTTATTTGACCACGAATGCCCTTTTCTGCCCAATATCAATTTAGCATCTTCCTGGAAAAACACTGATGTCAAGGTCATTTCTAGCTCACAGTTTCCACCTCACAGATAAGACAGAAGGTTTTCTAAAGATCACCATCCCTGCGCTTGGGAAGCCCCTTCCAGGTTTTCAAGCATGGTGGCGCTGGCCCGCAGGAGAGTGCCGCCCAGCCATGTGTCTCAGTCCTGCTCCCTGGTCCGGGAGGGTCGGAGCGTGAAGGCCCCTCGGGGACGCCCAACAAGGATGGACCCAGCTCCCTTCCACCTGCCACAGCAGCCTCAGCTCTTACAGACCACACGCAACGCCCAGACATTGTCAGGACAGAAGGCGGCATCTTCCAGGAGCCTTCTAGAAAAAGGAGTTGCCAAAAAGAAGCCTCTGGGGGTTGGGCAAGCCCTGCCTCAGGCAGGGAGAGGTGTCTCAGGCTCCAGAGTCTCCTGGCACCTTTGCAGGACGCCCTGATGACCACCAGGCCCCACTAGCAGGGACAGCACCACTTGCAAATCATCTCTCCCATCTCTCTGTAAATGTTCCAGCAAGTCTAACATTTGGCAACCAAAGTACATATCCCAGACGGCCGTGTGAACACAGGACAAGCGCCAAAGTTTGTCTCCCTATAGGGTTTGGAAAATGAGATTGCTCAGCGAGTGTGTGGAGGAGAGTGACGTTTATTGAGCACCTACTACAGATTGTGCCTTGTGTCAGAAGCTCTATCTTTACCATGAGATCTCAGGTCTGATAACAGCCCCATTTTACAGATGGGGAAACTGAGGCTCGCAGTGGTGAGGTAACACACCCAGGGACACAGCAGAGCTGGGAGTCACCCCCAGCCTGGTTTTGCCTCCACGGTGCCACTCTGCTGGGATGTATCCCTGGCTGGCATCGCTCCAAGATCCTGGTCCATGCCTCCATCCCAGAGTCCCCTTCTCATTACTAACCCAGGTTCTCAGGGCCTGGGGTGTGAGGAAGGAAACCGGAGGGGAAACTGATGTAGTCTGGCCCCTAAGGGTCTGGTCCACATAGTGGAATCTGGTTATTTTAGCCCCTACCAATCTGATCATCCCTGGGGGGCAGGCAGGTCGATAAATCAGTTTTCTGAGCCTGCCAAGCTGAAGGCCAGCCACCAGCCTGAGGTGACCCTGTCAGTGTGAAGAACCCCAGGAACCCAGCCTCAGCTAGCACCTGAGCTAAGCCCGGCCCTTTTTTAAAAAAAGATTTTATTTATTTATTTGACAGAGAGAGAGAGTGAGAGAAGGAACACAAGCAGGGGGAGCGGGAGAGGGAGAAGCAGGCTTCCCGCTGAGCAGGGAGCCCGATGCGGGGCTCGATCTCAGGACCCTGGGATCATGACCCGAGCCGAAGGCAGATGCTAAACAACTGAGCCACCCAGGTGCCCCTGAGCTAAGCCCCTTACTTTTGTGTCACTGTTGCCCACTCCTGGCTATAGCCTCCTCCCCTGCATCCTGCCCCAGCCCCCCATTCACCTTGCAGGATGCTGGCACTCAGCCTGTTGGCGGGGGCAGGGGGAGACATCACACAAACCTTTTGGAAACCCCTTTCCCCTGCCCTCTCCTGACTCCCCAGAATTCCTGGGCAGCAGCGTGGCTGTGTGCTGGGAGACAGGGGAGAGTCACTCTCTCATGGGCAGGCCCTCGGCTCTGTCTGCACAGCTGCAGGGAAGGAAGGCCCCACCTGAGCTCCCAGCACCCTGAAACAGCCACCCAGCTGCGCCCTTCCTCTTGCCCATCATGGGAGGGGCCACTGGAGAGGGGGCGGAGCAGTGTCCAGAGCTCTCCCACTGCTCGCACTGCTCCTCAAGCCATCTGAGAGGCAGGCCTCCCGCTCTCTGTCCTCCGTGGGGCCAGATTGCAGGGAAGAGTGACTTGCCCAAGGCCACAAGGCCAGGCAGCAAAGGGCATCACTCCTGGGTCTGGCAGACTCCAGAGCTGGGGTCGTTTCTCCCAGTACAGTGCAGGATCGGGGGTGTGGGTTCTGGAGTGAGACCGCTGGACTCAGGTCCTGGCTCCTCAACCTGCTCACTGGGTCACCTGGGGGCTGGTTACATACCCTCCCTGTGCCTCGGTACCCTCATCTATACAGTGCTGTCAGGGAACCCCTCCGTCTGAGCAGCCTTGGTGAGTGACAACCTGCCAGTGCTTCAGTTCACTCTGACTTAAAACGGAGAGCTTGATACACATCCAGCAAGGGCTGGTATGAAGATTCAAAAAAGACAACCATGTATCTAGAGCTTTCTGCCAGGTGGTGCCATGGGCCTGCTGATTGTTTGCTGGTGTTATGGTCAAAGTGCTATCATCCAGACCAGCTCTGGAAGGATACACAAGAAACGGTCTCAGAGGGCACCTCTGGGGAGGAAAAGTGGGTGGTGGCGGACCCTAACTTGCTCCTCTATGTTGTTTTATACTTTCAGAATTTTGTATCACATACATGTGATATTACTATTACCGAAGTGGGTTACGTAACTGTCATACAAAGGTGCTCCCTTGTCATGACACACGGTCTCATGCTGGCCAGAGACCCCATCCGCCAGTCCTGGCTTCCCCACCCCTCCAGAGCCACACCCACGCCTTGTCCAGGCCCTGTCTTCTAGCCCACTCCATGTCTCCCAGCAAGACCCCAGCGCGACCTTAAGAGCCAGCAGGTGTCTCCTTCTGAGCACAGGCATGTGACACGGGGCCAGCCGAGGCTCCATCCCTTCACCTGTCCACTGGCTCACCTGTAAGTGAGGTGACCACGCTGCCCCACAGGGTAGCTGTAAGGACTAACATGACGTACTAGAGGAACGCCTGGCTGGCTCGGTCAGTGGAGCATGTGACTCTTGATCTCAGGGTCATGAGTTTGAGCCCCATGTTGGGCATAGAGCTTACCTAAAAAAAAAGGAGGTATGGATGCCTGGGTGGCTCAGTCAGTTAAGCATATGCCTTCGGCTCAGGTCATGGTCCCAGGGTTCTGAGATCAAGTCCCACATCAGGCTCCCTGCTTAGTGGGGAGTCTGCTTCTGCCGCTGCCCTTACCCTCTGCTCGTGCTCTCTCTCTCAAATAAATAAAAAAAAGTCTTTTTTTAAAAAATGAGGTATTAGAGTGCTAGGTACAAATCCCTCCTTCCTGTCCTCTGAAAGGGCAAAATAATGTTGAAGGGAAGCTTCCTCCTCTGAGCTCATCTCCCCCACGAGCCTCTCCCACCCTGCAGGTGGACTGCAAACCTCCCAAGGCAACAGGCCTCTGGGCCTTTGCACTTGCCGGTCCCTTCCCTCATCTCCCTGACGTTGGCTTCTTCCCATCACTCAGTTTCTCCCAAGTGTCACCTCCTCACAGAGGCCCTCCTAGACCACCCCGTCTAAAGTGGCCCCCCTGTTTGTTTTCTGCACGGTACTTACCATTACCTGAAATTGAGTGGTTTTTTTTTTTTAAGGTTTTATTTATTTATTTGACAGAGAGAGAGAGAAAACACAAGAAAGCCTAAGCAGGGGGAGCGAGAGAGGGAGAGGGAGAGGGAGAAGCAGGCTCCCCAGCTGAGCAAGGAGACTCGATCCCAGGACCCCAGGATTATGACCTCAGCTGAAGGCAGATGCTTCACTGACTGAGCCACTGAGGCGCCCCTGAAATTGTGTTTTTTAAATAAACTTTTTTTGGGGGAATTTTAGATTCACAGAAAAATTGCAAAGACAGTGCAGAGGGTTCCCGTATACACTTCAACCAGTCTTCCTCATGTCACATCCTAACCTGACCATGGTACGTCTGTCAAAGCTAAGAAATTAACCCTGGCACATCACCATTGACTAAACTGCAGACTTTGTTCAGATGAAATTGTACTTTTCCTTTATTTATTTACTTGTTTTCAACTGCCTCCCCCACTGGAAGGAAAACTCTGAGAAGCAGGGAGTTTGCCATACTTACTCACCAAGTCCCTCCTACCTGGCAATAAATATTGATCGGTAAAAGGAGGGGAAATATTGGCAAAAGCAGCCAATGATTACTAAGGACTCCCTCCATCATGCACTGTTCTGAGTGCGCTAAACATTGTAAATCATTTAATCCTCAGGACAGCCCAAGAGGTAGCTACTAATTATGGGGAAACTGAGGCATGGCACAGTTTGGTGGCTGGCCGAGGCCACACAGATGGTTAGGACCAGAGTGGACAGACTCCAGGGCTTCCCTCGGTACCAGAATAAAAGCTAGTCCTTCCGTGTCCTTAGTCCACACCAGAGCCGGGGGGTCAGCACCCTTCTGTGGGCAGGACCCTAAGGCCCCAGGGCAGCTGATTTGCCTGAAGCCACGGGATGGACTGGGGTGCAGGGCTGGGATGGAACCCGAGCCTCCTGCCTCCAGCTGGCTGCCCTGAGGCGGTGACTTCCCTGGGCTCTGCCCGGAAGGGTGTGAGGCACCGCTCCCAGGGCCACCACCAGCCCCACCCTGCTGCCGGGAAGCAGAGGGCAGCCGGTTCGGCTGCAGTCTGTGGGCTCTCTGCTGTGCTCCCCGACTTCCCAGAGGGGCGCTGAGATGCCCCACCACCTCCCTTTGCCCATAGCCTTAGCCTGGGCCTCCAGGATCTGACCCCTGGGGAGGCGGGGTGGAGGAGGGGTCCTCTCCATCCTGGAGGAGGCTGCCTTCTGGGGTGGGGTGGGGGGCTAGCTGGGCTCTGGGACAGGGAGGGAAAGGAAGAAATGGTCATCCCTGTCTGGATGAGGGCGGGGGGAACGGAGCAACAGGGAGGATTATTAGGCTTTTCCCAACACCCTGGGACCAGCTGGAGAGGTGTCGGGCACCTCCCAAAGGGAAAAGCCGTTCTGGAGCCGGTGGGCAGGACCGAGGCCGGCCGCCCCCATGCAGCCTGGGTTCCGCCCAGCGCCAGCCTGGCGCAGACTCCAAGCCCTAATAATGTTTGCTGGATCCTTTGAATACAAGCGGCAGTGCCCAGAATCTCCTTGAGGTTTCAGCCAGGCGTGCCCGCCCCATCCCCCCTTCTGGGGAGCAGAATAAGTGGTGGGGGCCGTGTGACAGGGGACACCATGAGGTGGTGGCAGCCTCCGTGAGAGAGGCAGCCTGCTCCACCCAGAGCTGGGGGTAGGGGCGCCTTGTGCGCGGCTAATTAAACAGCGACTGTGCTGAATCGGGGCGAGGTTGCTGCTCGCTAATTAAAGGTGCGGGCGGCTTGCCTGGCAAGGAGGGAAGTCAGAACAGCTCTGGAACCATGTCAAGAGGCCAGGCCGGCAAGGACAGAACTGGCTCTGGGCATCTCTTCCATCCTCGGGCCCTCCCAGCCGGGCCCCACGGCCCCCTCCCCACTTCCCTATCTCTTCTACCCACCTTGCTGGAGCCTGGGGCCACGGACTTCCCCCTCCTCACCAACCCAAACTGCTTTCCTGATAAGGGCCTGCGCGTTGGGGAGGAGGAGCCTGCTGGTGCCCAAGGTCTGGGCTGGTGGGTGGGCATCATTTCGAACCTCTGAGGTATACTTCCTTTCACCCTACTCCCAAGAACCCCGAGTTGAGCGAATGAGCTCCATCAAGACGGGAGGTTGGCTGGTGTGAACGAGGCCCCAAGATGACTTCCGGAATTACAGATTCTGAGATTCACAGGGGCTTTGAGCCTCACCCAGTTTCCCCGATGTAACAACACCTGATGTTAGCTGGGGTCCGGCTCTGCCCCACGTGCCCCGGTGTGTGTGTGAGAGAGAGAGACGGGGATGGAGAGACGGTGTTCCTTTCTGATCTCAGCACACAAATCTAGGAAAAAGAAGACAGGAAGCAAGGATGTCTGGTTCTCGGAGGTTCCTATATAGTGACAAGGAGGTCGCCGGCTGCCTGTCCCTGCCCGGCATCTGCTCAGGGCAGGGCGTGGCTCCGTGGCTAAGAGCTCCCAGTCCCAGCCCCACCGCTTGCCAACTGTGTGTGGCCTGGGGCAAGGTAGCTATCGCTCTGCGCTTTGGGTTCCTCATCTGCAAAGCTGAGGATGGTCGCTGAGGGGACCAAGAGAGATAATCCAGGTGAGGCACTTAGCGCAATGTCTGGTCCACAGAACAGGCCCCGAAAATATCAGCTGTTATTACGTGAGAACTTGGGGGACTCAGGTAGGTGTGGCCCAGTGCCCACCTCTCTTCCAGTTGACTTCCTTACTGACAGCACAGGCGCAGCCCTCTCGGGATAATTCTATCAGACACAGGGAGAGCATGTCACCCTTCCCGCCAGGGCTCTCATATCCTCTCTGACCCACATAGCTTTATGAGGGAAGTAGAAGAGTCAAGAAGCAAACAAAATGGATGCTCAGAAAGCTAAGTGACCTGCCCGAAGTCATAAAGCTCAGAAAGGGGCAGAGATGGCCCTGGTCCCTTGAGTGGGAGAAGATGGGCTCACGGTTCCCATGGTAACATCTGTCGAGCTTCTACGGGATGCCAAGTCCTGAACCAGCCAGAGGGACCTAGGGGGACTGGACACTCACTCTGCCTTCAAGAGGACCCGGTCTGGAAGGGAGGAAAACACACCAATAATAGGAATGCAAGGCAAAGGTGGCAGGCATCCAAGCTGGTGCTCCAGCGCCCTCCATGCAAGGGGCTGAGAGTTGCTGCTTTGACTTGGAGCTTAATTTGAAAGCTAAGGTTGTACTTCTATTGGGAGGGTAAAATCAGCATTGGGGGAGCCTGGAAAGGCTGATAGGGCCCCTCTGGTGCTCCCAGGAGAAGCCTTCACAAAGGGGGTCAGACACTCTGCTCCGGGAAGTGCCTATGGTGCCTGCTTCTGAGGTTTGGGGTCTGTCACTTGAGGTATCTGACAGTCCCAGATGGTGTGACTTCAGACACTACACTGTCCAGGACCCACAGCAAGAATCCATCCATGTCCTAAAGGGGCTGTAATGGGTCCCATCCAGGTGGCCAGTCACTTACCAGTCACTGCCATGCGATGCAGTAGGGGAAGGATGCAGTGCCCATAAGGGGCCCAGAGACAGTAGAAACCTTTCCAGGCTGAGAAAGCCAAGGCCTCTGGCCCTGATGCTGGACACCTGGACCTTAGGCAGCCAACCCAAAGCAGGCAAGAATGAGTGCAAGGTCACTGGCCTTGGGGTTGATGTCTCCATCTTCCCTCCTCAGAGATCAGGACTCAGCCAGAAGAACGCGGCAAAGGGCCCAGGCAGGTCTAGCCACAAGGAAGCCTGTGCAAGCAAAGCTAGCAGCTCCTTAAAAACACACCATGCCGGGCGCCTGGGTGGCTCAGTCATTAAGCGTCTGCCTTCGGCTCCGGTCATGATCCCAGGGTCCTGGAATCGAGTCCCACGTAGGGCTCCCGGCTCAGCGGGAAGCCTGCTTCTCCCTCTCCCACTCCCCCTGCTTGTGTTCCTGCTCTCACTGTCTCTCTCTGTCAAATAAATAAAATCTTTTAAACAACAACAACAACAACAACAACAACAAAACACCATGCCTCAGCCTCCCCAGGGCCCCCTGCACCCTCCCTAGCTTGGCCAAATGCTGGTCTGGGGCGCCCTCTGGTGGCCACATGGGGCAGTGGCAGACGCAGCCCCGGGTTTAGTGGTCAGACTTGGAGACATCAGAGTGGACCGCCTCTCCCACTGCACAGATAGGAAAACCAAGGCCTGGGGCTATGGGGGATGGGGAAGGGAGTTACATGCCCAAGGTCATGCAAGTAACCTGCCCAAGTCAGTTTCCAAGCCTAGAACAGAACCCAGACCTCCTTCTGCACCAGTGGCTTCTCTTGGTGGGTCTCAAGGCATCCCCACCAGGGGAGGGAAGACTGAGTGTCCAGGAGGCTCACTCCCCAGGGACCAGAGACAACTGAATGGTAGGCAGCTGAGCAGCTATGTGATGGGGTACATAGCACTTCCCCTCTCTGGCCTTGGGTTCCTTACCTCTAAAGCCTGGAGCTACTGGCAAGGGCCATGGAGACTGGGGTCCTTCTCATACACTGCTAATAGTGAGACTAGAACCAGCCAGCCTTTCAGAAAATCCTAAAATGAACCTTCCTACAGCGAGTATTGGGTATCATACTAATGGTGAAAGACTGGGTGCTTTCCCCCTGAGATCAGGAACAAGATAATGATGTCCATTCTTGCCACTTCTATTCAACATTGTACTGGAAGTTCCAGCCAGGGCACTCAGACAAGAAAAAAAAAAAAAGCATCCACATTGCAAAGAAAGAAGTACAACTATCTCTATTTTCAGATGGCATGATCTTGTAAACAGAAAATCCTAAAGAATCCACGCACAAAAGTTAGAACTAATAAATGAGTTCAGCAAGGATGCATGATATAAGACGAATATACAAAACTCAATTGTTTCTCTGTGTACTTTGCAATGAACACTTCAATAATGTAATTAAGAAACTAATTTCGTTTACACTGCAATCAAAGAGGATAAAACACTTACAAATAATTTAACAAAAGAAGCATAAAATTTATACTCTAAAAATTACAAAATATTGTTGGAAGAAATTAAAGAAGACCTAAATACATGGAAAAACATCTCTGAAGACCCAATATTATTAAGATAGCAAGACTCCCAAAATTGGTCTTCAGATTCAACACCATCCCCATCAAACTTCCAACTTGCTTCTTTGCAGAAACTGACAAGCTGATCTTAAAATTCTTATGGAAACTCAAGTGACCCCAAACAGCAAAACAATATTCAAAAAAGAAGAACATTGGGCGCCTGGGTGGCTCAGACGGTTAAGCGTCTGCCTTCGGCTCGAGTCATGAGCCCAGGGTCCTGGGATAGAGTCCCGCGTTGGGCTCCCTACTCCTTGGAGCCTGCTTCTCCCTCTGCCTCTCTCTCTCTCTCTCTCTCTCTCTCTCTCTGTCTCTCATGAATAAATAAATAAAAAGTTTAAAAAAAAAACAAAAAAGAAGAACATCGTTGGAGGACCCAGAGAAAGCTTTCTACAAAGTTACAGTAGTAAAACAGTGTGGGACTGGCATAGGGATAGGCATATAGATTAATGGAATGGAATCCGAGTCCAAAAATAAGCCCTCACACTTACAGTCAATTGATCTTCAACAAGAGTGCCCAGATAGTTCAGTGGGGAAAGGACAGGCTTTTCAACACATGGTGTTGGGGCAATTAGATACCCACATGCAAAAAAAAAAAAGGAGGCTGGGCACCTTCCTCACACCCCACACAAAAAATTAACTCAAAACGGGTCGTAGACCCAAATACAAGTGTTAAAACTATAAGACCCTTATAAGAAAGCATAGGCCTAAATCTTCATGACTTGGATCAGTCAATAATAAGACACAAAAGCATAGAAAAGACCAAAAAAAAAAAAACCCAGGTAAATTGGACATCATCAAAATAGCTAAATTCTGTGTTACAAAGGACATTGTTAAGAAAGTGAAAAGACAGGGTGCCTGGCAGGCTCAGTGGGTGGAGCGTGTGACTCTTGATTGGGGTTGTGAGTTTGAGCCCCATGTTGGGTGTAGAGGGTACTTAAAATAAGACCTAAAAAAAAGAAAAAGAAAGAAAGTGAAAGAACACAGAATGGGAGAAAATATTAAATATTTGCAAACCATATATCTGATAAGGAATTGCAACTAGAATATACAAAGAACTCTTACAACTCAATGATAAAAGACAAATAACCCAATTTAAAAATGGGCAAATGATCTGAATAAACATTGATCCAAAGAAGATATACATATGGTCCATAAGCTCATGAAAAGATGCCAAAAATCACTAACCATCAGGGAAATGTAAATCAAAACCATGAGATGCTACTTTGCACACACTAGGTTTGCTATCATCGAAAAAGACAGTGTTGGCAAGGGTGTGGGGAAGTCAGAACCCTCCCACAGTACTGGTAGGAAGGTAAATAATGCAGCCACCTTGAAAAAGAGTCTGGGAGTTCCTCAAAAGATTAAATAGAATTACCATGTGACCCAGCAGTTCCATACCTGGGAGGCATAGATCCAAGAGAAATTAAAACATATGTTTACCCCAAAAGTTACATGAATGTTCACAGATGCATTATTCATAATAGCCAAGAAAGTAGAAACAACCCAAATGCCCATCAACTGATGAATGGATAAATAAAATGTGGTCTATCTACACACAGAAATATTATTCAGCAACAAAAAGGAGTTAAATATTGGGACGCCTGGGTGGCTCAGTCAGTTAAGTGTCTGCCTTTGGTTCAGGTTGTAATCCTGGGGTCCTGGGATGGAGTCCCAAATCCTCTGGCTCCTTGCTCAGCAGGGAGTCTACTTCTCCCTCTCCCTCCACCCCCTGCTCATGCTTTCTCTATCTCTCTCTCTCTCTTAAATAAAAATGGAATTAAATACTGATACAATCTATGACATGGATAAACCCTGAAAACATGCTAAGTGACAGAAGTCAGTCAGAAGAGACCACACATTGTATGATTTCATTTATATGAAAAGTCCATAATGGGCAAACCTATACAGACAGAAAACAGACTCTTTTATAGCAGTGGTTGCCTAGAGCTGGAAGGAGGCCACTGGGGAGAGATGGGTGTGGGGTTCTTTATGGGATGCTGAAAATGTCCTAAAATTGATTGTGGTGATGATCGCACAACTCTGATTATACTAAAAACTAATGAATTGTATGCTTTAAATGGGTGAATTGTATGGCAAGTGAGTCATATCTCAATAAAGCTGTTTAAAAAAACATGGGGCGCCTGGGTGGCTCAGTCATTGAGCGTCTGCCTTTGGCTCAGGTCATGATCCCAGGGTCCTGGGATCAAGCCCTGCATCAGGCTCCCATGCTCAGTGGGAAGCCTGCTTCTCCCTCTCCCACTCCCCCTGCTTGTGTTCCCTCTCTCGCTGTCTCTCTCTCTCTGTCAAATAAATAAATAAAATTTTAAAATAAATAAATAAATAAAAGGGTCTGCCTTTGGCTCAGGCCCTGATCTCAAGGTCCTGGGATTAAGCCCCCTGCCCCTGTCATCAGGCTTCTTGCTGAGCAGGAAGTCTGCTTCTCCTCTCCCTCTGCCCCTCCCCCCTACACCCCCCATGCTCTTTCTCTCTCTCAAATAAATAAAATTTTTAAGAATAAAGGGTCCTGGGATCGAGCCCCACATCGGTCTCCCTGCTCAGCGGGAAGCCTCCCTCTCCCACTCCCCGTGCTTGTGTTCCTGCTCTTGTTATCTGTCTCTGTCAAATAAATAAATAAAATCTTTTTAAAAAAAAAGAAAAAAAGAAAGAAATTAATTAATTAATTTAAAAAATACTGTTCTTTGGATCCATGACTCTACTTCTAGAAATTTCTTCTGGGAATTACTCAAGTGCATAAAAACATATGTATAAAGATTTCCATCACAGTATTGTTTATAATAGCAAAAGTGTGAGAATAACCTAAGTGCCCATTAGTAGGGGAACCAGTCAGTTATGTTCAACCCTGGGATGGAACCACGGAATCATTAAAAAAAGATTAAAAATGAGAGTCACATTTACTAACATGGACAAGGCCTACGATATACTGCCAAGTTAAAAAAATAAATCTATAGATTAAAAGGGACTTAAAAGACAGATTTTTTCAGACAAAATTATAGTATCTAGGGATTCACACTGGGTGATAACTAGCAAGAAAGTGATGACCTTAAAAGTCACCACAACAGTGGGGCACACGGCTGGCTCAGTTGGTGGACTATGATTCTTGATCTCTGGGTCCTGAGCTCAAGCCCCAGGTTAGGCATAGAGCTTACTTTAAAAAAAGAAAAAAAGGGGGTGCACCTGGCTGGCTCAGTCGGTAGAGCATGTGACTCTTGATCTCAGGGTCATGAGCTCAAGCCCCACATTGGGAGTAGAGATTATTTTAAAAAGAGAAAAGTCAGGAGCACGGTAACTTTTTGTGGGAAGTTTGGGGGAGGTGGCACACTGCAGGCTAGGGTGGCTGGCAGAGTTCTTCACTGGGCAGTGAATCCAAATGAACAAT